TTTCTTGGTTCTATGTTATGAATGAAGCTTCAGTTGAGGAATAAACTACTTATGCCATAAACACTTGCTGGACTAGTTTACGGGATAATATCCTAGACCGGAATGGAAGACTTCAGAATTGTGAGCATCTTCTTGCAACTGAATATATAATGCACTCTCCAAAAACACAGAGTCAAGTTTTAACAGCTGTGTACCTTTAACAATGAGCTAGAGCCATAAAACAGCAGAAATGCAAAGGATCTTTAATGCCACTGATTTACCTAAAGTTTGGAATTTGGTTATCAATTCACAATTAAAGGGATTCTATAGCCACTGAAGTGGTCTGGTTACCGTGTCCCTGAAAACATTTGTGTTTTGCCAGGAACTGCAATTTTTCATTGCAAGGTTGACATGCCTCTAGGGCAGGGGTTCCCAACCCTGTCCTCAAGTACCCCCTACCAGTCCAGGATTTAGGGATTACCCTTTTGTGTCTGAAGTGTTGTTTTTTTTTTCTTCTTCTAAAAACACCTGAGACACAACGGAGTAATCCCTAAATCCTGGACTGGTAGGGGGTACTGAGGACTGGGTTGGGAACCCCTGCTTTTGGGGGAAGAAGGAAAAAAAACAAGAGTAAAATGCACAAACTAAAAAGGGGAATACTTCATGCAGGGTGCTCCATAAAGTTAGGGCCAAACCCTGAAAACATCAAACGGAAGAGAAGAAATATCCAGGCACACTTGAGGTTTCTTCTAAAAGGCTGTAGAATATTGCATATTCTATGTTTCTATTGATTATATATATGGATGTGTGGATTGACATAAGTAACAGATGGTATCAATAAGTCACAAGGCTTTCTTTGTCCGAGAGCTCTGGAATGTGGATGTGGAGGGTTTTGTCCTTATATGGCTAGAGTTATATGCTGATGTTAGTATTAGCACTTCTATATAGTAACAGAGGGACACGAGGTCTCTCAGTCTTAGTCCTGTCTTGGCTTGGCTCTGTACAACGATGTAACTCTCCCATCAGAAGTACAGCAATTACCATCTGCTGTTAAATGTCCATTATCCTGTAACATCCTATATTATGTTTTATGTATCCGTAACTAAGAATAAACCTGAAGAAACCGTAAGTCAGATTGCGTATTACTACTTTTCAATAATATAGACATATATTATTGTGGCGAGCATTTGGCCCAAGAATATATATACAAAAGACGTATATATATCAATCAACTGAAGACAAGAAGAAATTAAGAAAGAGTCTACATTAACATCCATTCATCTAGTTTTTTACATTGGCTAGCCAGCCAGTCTTCTATTCAAAGTTTTGTTCCCACTTCAAGGGGGGAGAGAGAAGAATCGAGTTACAAAGCTATTTTGGAACTGGGAAAACAAACTTGAAGAGAAAAAAAAGAATCTAGACTGACTGTCATAGAAGAACTGTGGTTTGTAAGAAAAAGAAAGTTTTCAAATTAAAGACTGTACAAGACTATTTTCTACAACGGAGACAAAAAGCACAAGATACAACGTGAATTCTAGAAGCAAGCACGTGGCAGAGATTGGCAAGCGTCCAAGCAAAGAACTGCGCAGCTGTGTGGATGAAGCAACGAAATAGACAGAAATAACTGATCTGGTGAGTAACATGGAATTCATAAATGATAATGCAGAGAAAAGTAAATTGCAGTTTGCATGTAATAGCAGCTATTCAGAAGCTGTATTGTGGCAATCTTTATACACACAATGTGAAATTGCCAATAGTGAAATTGACAAGAAATTGTTTGTTAATAAGAAAAAACAAAAGATCAGAAATGTTATGAAACTAGTCTGTACTTACAATGCATTGATTTGTAAACGAGATGCAGGTCAAGAAAATTTAGAATCATCAGAAAAAGAAGTAGATTTGAATGGGTTAACAGAAGACAAATCAGATTTAAATGAACAGTGTAACAAAGTAACAGAGAGAACATTGTCAGAAACAGTCTGTGAATTAGAGGATAGAGTTGAACTAAGAAATGATCTTATTTGCCAGCTTGGAAATGAAGTTAAACTAGTGTGTGTTAATACAAGAAAAATACAAGCACAGAATCTAATCCCAGAACCAATAGATACTGAAAATGTATCCTCACAGAGTGATTTGCAGAAATGTAAATTCCAAGACAGAACTGCAAAACTTAATTTGAAAATCCATGATCAATTAATGAAAATTGTGAAATGTATTCCAGTTTATGACACGTCAGTGGATGCATTCACTAATGCTGAAATATTTGAGTCTAATTTAGACAAATACAGCCTAAATGACGAACAAAGGAATAGACTATTTAAAACATGGCTGCCGACTCAAATTGCACGTAGACTGACTCCACCCATTAGTACCCCTAATGACGAAGATGGTGAAATAGTCCATGGGAATAAGCAAGACAGATTAACACAATTAATAAAATTAACAACAGGGAATGATTTTGCAGACACTGAAATGTTGGAAAACCTAAAACCACACATTGATGAGGATATTTTTAGTTTTCTTGTAAAATTTGAAAATGCATATAGACTTGTTGCTGATTTTTCTGAAGATCAGTTAATTAATGAATTTGTGAAAAAATTTCAAGATCTAGATCCAACTGCAATTGTGTTAGCTAGAGAAAAAATCACTTTGACAGAAGTAGCTTTGTTCTTGGATAACTTAAGGAGGGAAACCAAGAATGAAGGGGTTAAAACGACTTGTGGCTTTAGGCAGAGAAAGAAGTGCAGATGTTACAGCCCTCGTCCCCCTCCTTCTTCTTCTTCTAGGACAGAGTGTAGAGTGATACAGACAGCTGAGCCCCTCCCAATTTATTCAACTAAAAACTGTAGAGTTGATAATATAGGGCAAAATATAACTCCTAAAGTTATTTGTTTTTGGTGCAACAAACAACATTATTTAAGATCTTGCAGATATTTTATCCGAGATATCAAATCAAAAGCAAATGAGAAATTAAATATGTTGATTAAAAATTTTGACAGAGAAAATGGAGATAAATCAATTAAAGCCTTTCCTTGTAAACTGATAATCAGACAAATAAAAGCAATTTTAGCTAAATCGAAATTAGGAGACAGACAAGCAATGCAGTGTGACACAGAAAGTTATAAGAATCAGATAACTTCAAGAGATATGATTAGTTTAGGGAATGAGCATGGATATGTGTTCCAACAGATGTACACAGGCTGATTCCAGAATTAAGAACAGCACAAGAATAGAGTTCTATGTTAGTTTGTTGTTTTAATGAATTGTTAGTCTGAACTGTTTTTTCATTGTTTTATGTGTGTTATAAGGAAGTATTAGGTTAATTAATGGAAATAAAAATTTACATCAAGTTTGCAAATATGACAGAATGAAATACACTAATGTAGCAGTTAGGAACATGCAAGGTTATATTGGGTGTATGCGATTATACAGTAACTCCAATCATTTTACAGAAGGAAAAAACAATGTTACTTCTGAGGTTGATTTAAAATCTTTGATTTAATTCATGAGAATGAGATTTTAATATCATGACTGATAATGGATTACTATATTTTGCAAAGCCTGGACATACATATGTTTTGACTACATAGAAGACAAAAGTTTTGATAGAATAAAACCTAGATTTACAAATACATTTGATGAAGGAAACAATATATGTTTTTGTAGTTTGTTTCATGTGACAAAATGGTGCCAGTGTTAAGACAAAATGGCTGCTATTGCTAAAGTATAGTGGAAAACAATATTTAGTTGTAACATCTAATATGTGATTAGGTTATACCTCCAGATTATTAAACAGTTTAAAAGGGGGGTATGAGTAATAAAAAGTTTGAGAATTGAGAATTTACATGTTCAGAAAGATTTTAATATAAAAGGAAATTTAAAGATTATACATCACATGGCATAAATGTAATGACCACTAGATGGTAGATCTCATGAGAAGAAATGAGAATGTTGTGTAGTCCATGTAATTCAATGTTAAACTGTGTAATAATAATGAGATATAAACTTTGTAAGCCATTGTATTGATGCTGCACATGGTTTTTGTTTTAATGTAGGTAAAGCGTGACAGATCCTTGTGGCAATAAATCAGGAAAGCATTCCTTCAGACAACTGGACATCGACTGTAGGAAAGAGACTTTTCATCTGATCTGCAAACTGTGATGGAAGATTCTACAGAGTTCATTCGATACAGAAGATTAACAGACTTACAAAGAAATAAAAGATTGACACTAACATAAATATATCTTCCTAAATATTAATGAAGAAGAAAACAGACAATGAAACATTATTTAACAGTTATAAGTATTAATACCAAAAGAGACTACTTATAGCTATATAACACATGGAGTACAATCACGAAAAGATAGTATTTGAAAAGAACTATTATATTATTACCTATACATAGAATGAGACGTATCAGAGGTAGATAAAATATGAAGTCGATAAAATAAGGATCATGGTTACTTAATACCACAAAGATTGAGTTCAATAGTATTTCATAGATTAACTATAATGAGTAATTTGTTTATATAGTTGAAGTAAAACAAACAATGGTAATAAAAGGAAGAAAACTGAGGAAGGATAATTTATATTGATTAATATTAAGTAATAGTATACATTAAGAAGGCCTTGGATATAAGAGTTCAGAGATCCAAGAGGAATTGAATGGAAAGAGTATAGTACACAATTATATTTAACCTAAGTCTATAAAGGTATGGACTAGGGAGAATAGGTTTCTGGATATGACGGTATCCAATGAATTGAATACGTTGTTAAGATTTCCCTGAGTTTGTAAGACACAGACTAGGAATAAGAGTTTCTGGGCAGTATGACCCCAAGTTTATTTTTGTTTTGTTTATTTTATTTTAGTCAGTTGAAGTGTACTAAGGAATATGGATTGGTCAGAACATTAGGACAATCCTGCTTTTAAGATGTATTACATTAATAAGTCATCACAATGCTAATGAAGAGAGTGATGCTAATGAATTTAAATTGTTCTTTCCAAGTTCTTTTAAAGTAAACTATGTTTCTATTGAATTTAAAGTTTGTTACTACAAGGTGGAATTTTAGTGAAAATTATAATTATGTAAACTAAAACAAATCTATGATAGAAAGATTTCTGGGTGAAGAATTTCTAAATTGAAGAATTATTATAGAACTTCATGGTTGATAACACATCCTTTGAATGAGACTTATAACTAGTGTTGATATATTTCAGGTAGTGAGAGCCTACTGAATATACAAATTAAATACTATGATTGTAAAGTACTGATACAATCATCACTAGGTGGTATTAATGGTATAGGAATGTAATTCATGAATACAAATGATAAAGATTTTAAGTTGCTAGAAACCATACGATTCATGGAAATCTAATTGGACAGGATATTATAGTAATACATGTATTAGTACTTAAGTAATATCAGGTATTGAGAATGAAAATACTATGCTATATGTGTCTGTAGGAGTATGATAGTGATACACAGTTATTATTATTTAGAAAGTTACGATCTTGGATTTTGTTATCTACAAAGATACGACTGTACCATAGAAGGTAGATCTTTCTGATTGCTTTATTGTTTATTGGATCAACATTTGTAAATATTTTATTTTATTCATTTATTATTGTTATATATGTATATATTATGTTCAAGTAGTTATGATGTAACATGGATATGGATATCAATACATAGCTGAAACAGAGGGAGTTTTGAAGTAAAGTAAGCAGTATAAGGGATAGAAACTCGACCTTCTAAGAACTCTCATATAATAGAAAGTTGTGACTACATCTTGTTCTATGCTCAATGAATGTGATACAAGTGATGTATGAATGGACAGGTTAATTACATTGTGTTATGGTTTTAAAACAAACCATAAACAGAGGGAATGTAGAATATTGCATATTCTATGTTTCTATTGATTATATATATGGATGTGTGGATTGACATAAGTAACAGATGGTATCAATAAGTCACAAGGCTTTCTTTGTCCGAGAGCTCTGGAATGTGGATGTGGAGGGTTTTGTCCTTATATGGCTAGAGTTATATGCTGATGTTAGTATTAGCACTTCTATATAGTAACAGAGGGACACGAGGTCTCTCAGTCTTAGTCCTGTCTTGGCTTGGCTCTGTACAACGATGTAACTCTCCCATCAGAAGTACAGCAATTACCATCTGCTGTTAAATGTCCATTATCCTGTAACATCCTATATTATGTTTTATGTATCCGTAACTAAGAATAAACCTGAAGAAACCGTAAGTCAGATTGCGTATTACTACTTTTCAATAATATAGACATATATTATTGTGGCGAGCATTTGGCCCAAGAATATATATACAAAAGACGTATATATATCAATCAACTGAAGACAAGAAGAAATTAAGAAAGAGTCTACATTAACATCCATTCATCTAGTTTTTTACAAAGGCAGTCTTTTTATTTGAAACAAGAAAGTGGAGACAATGTTTCGGCTCCTCCCCTTGTCTCCCCTTTTTTGTTTCAATTAAAAAAACTGCTTTTTAGAAGACAACTCAGGTGTGCCTGGATATTTATTTTCTTCCATTTGATGCCTCTAGGGGAAGTCAGGAAGACAGCCACTAGAAGGTGTTTCACAGCTATCACCAAGTCAACTCTGTTATAGATCAAATCTCCTCCTAGAGAACATTTGATTGGCCGCACAAGCGTACAAGGCTCGGAATGCTTCCATATGGAAAGCATTGGATAGGCTGAGATCATCACAACTGATTATCATCTCAGCCAGGCAGGCAAATGGAGCAGAAGAATGGAGACCAGAGTGCCACGGGTTGCAAGGTAAGTAAATATTACTACATAGGTAGGGGAACACGTTTGAATTCCAAATGCTATAGTGTTCCTTTAAAGCTTTACTTACTCCAATTCTTTTTCCATATCATATGTACGACCCAACATTCAGACTTTAAACATAAGCCAGTACAAACAGAGACAACACATATATTCAGAACTTGTATGCAGTTTTATAAGTTTTATGAAATAAACAGTTCAAGAACGAACAACTTATGATGAACACATTTTGTCAACATCCTAACAAGGACAGCTGGTTAACAACAAAACACCCAATTCCAAAAAATATTTATATATATATATATATTTTCAAACCCTATTTTTCATTTTAATAAAAGTGTAAATGTGCCCATCTATTATATGATAAAATATGAACTAAATTGTAAATAAATATATTTTCATATAGGGAAAAAAAACAAAAAAAACTTGAAATGACGGCAATTGAACTTTAATTTAACCCAATCCTGTGCGAGCCACAAAATATAAATACACTTCCATTATTAAAATACTCAGGCACTTAACTAGAAACATTTCCCAAGTGTTATAAAACTTTTACTGTTAAACAGACAGAGTGCAAAGAAGTTGAATATAAATAAAATATATATATTACAAATATAGGAGACAAGGATGCTTACATAATTTGGTCCTTTTTTTTGTGTGGAAATTTCACATTTTAACATACTTATAACAGTGCTCCATCACATAAATTGTTTAAACCAAGCACTGGTGGGCAGTAGTCAAAAGATGTACATTAGTCCACTGGTTCCTTTCATTTGATACCGCTGGTGGGAGCCATGTGATTTGTCCGTACACCTTGTTGCTTCTCCCCTGTGGCTGATAGTTGGACAGAAAACGAGGCTGTTGGTGGTAGTGAAAGCCATGTTTTTTCTTTGGGTACTTGTTCATGAAAGACATGGGTTGCAGCACATATTCCTGTGGTTCCTGTGTGCAGAAATACTTGGTTTGCATTCTCAAAATAAACACATGACAGGAGATATAAACTTTTGAAAAAGCTGGATATATATATATATATATATATATATATATATACATACATACATACATACATACATATATATATATATATATATATATATATATACACACACACACACACTTTTTTTTTTTAAATCTTGGAAAAATTATACTGATTATACGGATTAGGATTTATTATCTTGAAACCAAACTAATAAGACACTTAGACAGGTGTACATACAAATACAAGTAGTAAAATCTAGTGTTAGCATGAATGACTATAAGAATATTTACTTAGACATCACTATTTGAATGCTGTGTGTGTAAGCAAAAATAAGTAAATAAATGAATGAAAAAAATCCAAGCTGGTGTTGGCATAGTACTCTAAATTAAAGAGGTGCTCTATGTACCATAACCACTAGAGTGAACTATAGTGGTTATGGTACCATGGACAACTGCAGTCCACCACAACATGCAGCAATGGTCATGGTGTTTTAAATAACCCTTTAATTTTGAGTGCCAAGTATTGGAGTACTTGTTTGTGTAGCTCCCAACATTGGAAGGTATGATACCAGGACAAGGTGGGCAGCCTTGCGGGGGTGGTAAACCAGTGATGCCAACCCCTCTATATAAGACCATGCAGAGAAGACTGCTGAAGCACTCCCTGTATGGTCCTAGTGCCTGCTCACAGCATGAACATTTCGAATTATGTTTTTGTGCTGTGCCACCCGAGGATGCAGGACACCAGGGAACTAAATTGGGACTGTTTGGAGGTCTGCCTTGAATGGACAGTTTAGGCACCATAACTTCTTCTAAATAAAGTAGTTATGGTGCCAAGAGGCCCCCGGCACACTCTTACCTTAAGGGGTTAAACCATTCTCGAATGGTTTAACACTAAAGTAGGCTTCCAGTGCCGATCCCCAGTCCCCCAAGCGGAACCCGGCTTCTGAATCTCAGTTTCAGAAAGCACGAAGTGCCACTGGGCAGCGGCACAGCTGATTGATGAAGTATGTCCTTAAATTAAGCTGGGTCCGATGCTGCTGTGTAAGAACACCTTGTACTTTTGAAAATTAGAAAAGGAAGCAAGGTGCTAACTGACTAATTTTTTTTTGAAAACAGGAAAATAGTTGGGACATGGTTAAGCTAGCTTTTACAGGGACATGGGAAAGGGCCATGTCAAGCATATTAACCCTTTATGTTTTAGTGATATCTGTCCTGTGAAGAGATGTAAGGGCAACAAATCCATCTGTGAGATCACCTGTATTTCTGCATGGGAAATATTGCATTGGAAATATTGCATGCACCCCAAAAAAGTGTTAAAAATTTATTTTTTAAATGTTTTAATTCACATTTAATTAAACTCAACAATGTATCACCTTTTTTTGGCCAAACATATTTTTGCAATGTGTTTTGTAAGCCAATAGGCTGAGAATGCCATCAGTTATTCTGCCAGTTGCAATAGTAGCATACCTTTTCGTACGGACAAAGCTCAGAGTTCACTATGTAAAGCACATTTTAAAATACCTGGTAAATATTCTGTCTATCGGAAGCCACCATCACTGGGGAAGTCTTTCTGCGACTGATGTAAACTTCATCATCTGAAGAAGACCCGGAGTGATAATCGGATGTCACATTATCCATAGCCTGGCTAACTTTCTGGGACACTTCGGCCTGGCTGTCGTCTTCACTTTCAAAACAGGCTACGGTGAAAGGGTGGCTATGCTCACCGTACCTGGTAGACAGCAAAGACCGGCGTTATTCCTTGAATCAGGAATCGCAAATGTTTATAACAAAAAACACAGAATTTGAGAATTTTTCAATATCGCTATTTTGAGCTAAAATATTCAGTTCAGAATATAAATTGACCCTGTACACCTTAAATATGGCAAAAGAAGAAATCATTTTTTTTTTTTATTTTTTACACACACACAGAAAATAAAAAAAGAAAAGAAAAGTAATTTTAGTACATTGCTTGTGCCTCCTATTATACTATGTTCAGAGGAAATATTTGCACAAAACTAACACGAGCTTACAGCTCACTGCATTGCAACAGCGTTAAATAAAGTAAAAAAAATTACTATATCCCCATGGAAACCAGAACAAATAACTTTACAAAAGTCTTTGTATATTTTTAGGTCTATGTTTACAGATTTTATGCAACAGCACCACCTGCTGGTTACTACCCCTAAATTCAATCTCAAGTACTAGCAAAAAGCTCCATCGAAACTCAAAGCTATCTAAAGTGAGAATTGTCCTGGTTTGAATTCCTGACAATTCTCAGTTTAGTAAATAACCCTGTATGTTGTTGTCACAATGTACAGTAGCTTGGTCTGTCAATAGTATCCCAATACAGGCCCCATTAAGGAGATCAGTAAGGCCAGTTTCTTGTTACTGACCTGCAGCAGACTTCCCATGGATCGACCCACAAGGTTAGTTCTCTGGGTAAGCCCAGGTCCTCGTAGACTAGACCACTGACCATACAGGCTTTCAGGAGATCAGGATCAATACCGTGAAACTTGTTCACACGGATACACCTAAACAAAGTAACTACATTTTAACAGTGGTGCAAAGTGGTTCATAATAAAACAAAACAACTTTAGCTTAACCCCTTAAGGACACAACTTTTGGAATAAAAGGGAATCATGACAGAATATTTTCGTCATGTGTCCTTAAGGGGTTAATTAAACAGTTTTGGTGTATAGATCATGCCTCTGCAGTCTCAATGCTCAATTCTCTGCCATTTAGGAGTTAAATCACTTTGTTTATTAACACTAGTCAGACCTCCCTGCATGTGACTTGCACAGCCTTCCTAAACACTTCCTGTAAAGAGTCATCTAATGTTTATCCTATTCTATTTAATTTAGATTTTCTTCTCTTTTTTTCCTGCAAGAGTATCGTATATGTGATTAAAGTTCAATTTACAGAGCAAGAGACACAATTGTTTAAAGGGACACTTTAGTCACCTGAACAACTACAGGCTATTGAATTTGTTCTGGTGAGTAGCGTCATTATCTTCAGGCTTTTTGCTGTAAACACTGTCTTTTCAGAGAAAATGCAGTGTTTACATTACAGCCTAGTGATAACTCCACTGGCCACTCCTCAGATGGCTGTTAGAGATCCTTCCTGGGTCATGGCTGCCTAAAATGCATCCAAACATTCAGTATCTCCTCCCTCTGCATGCAGACACTGAACTTTCCTCATAGAGATTAATTGATTCAGTTCAGCTCTATGAGGAGATGCTGATTGACCTGGCTGTGTTTGAATCATGCTGGCTCTGCCCCTGATCTGCCTCCTTGTCAGTCTCAGCCAATCCTATGGGGAAGCATTGTGATTGGATCAGGCTACCACTTCTGATGATGTCAGCAGACTGATTTTTTTTTTTTTTTACGCAAACAGCATGCAGATCTACAGCTTCTGGCTTGAATACAGCAAGATTTTTCTATATTTATGGAGGTATGAGGGGCCCAGGGTGGCTAGATGGTGGTTTTAACACTATAGGGTCAGGAATAAGTTTGTGTTCCTGACCCTATAGTGATCCTTAAAAGGTAAATTACATCTGATTGAAAGTGAAACCAGTTTTTTGTTGTTTTTTTCATGCAGGCTGTGTCAGTCAGAGCCAGGGGAGGTATGGCTAGGGCTGCATAAACAGAAGCAAAGTGATATAACTCCGAAATGGCAGTAAATTAAGCAGTGAAACCTGAGAGGCATGATCTATACACTAAAACTGCTTCATTAAGCTAAAGTTGTTTAGGTGACTATAGTGTCCCTTTAAAATAAATTCACCTACTTTAGTATTATCAGTAAATTATAACCAGCCATAAAGAAGGCGATGCATAGGAAAATATGTGAATTAAATGTCAATATAAAACACAGATAAAGGGAAACAAACAGAGCAAAAAATTGATGGAAAAACCCAATATCAAGAGAAAGGAAACAAACAATGTTTTGATACTATAAAGCGCATTATTGTGGTGGAGTTGAAGCAATTCTCCCATTAGAATTTCCAATACTCACCGATATGCCTGTCCTCTAGTTGGGGTTTCTGGGTACCAGTGATTGATATACTTCCCATGCAGTATTCGGGTCAGTTCTTCTGAAAACATTTCAATGTCTTCTTTTATTAGCTTTTCATTCTTTTGGATAAGTCTTGATAGAAAAAAAACCACAGCTGAGATTTCGTTCTTCATCTTGCCCTGGTGAAAGTTAAAGTATTCTGGATAAAAAAAAAATAAAAACACTAATAATTATGACAATCAGAACAAATTAAGCAAAGAGTAGGGACAACTGAATTTGCTGTAAACGCAGGCACTTTACTTGATAGTAAAAAACGGACAGCGGCGTTCACAACATTATCATATTATGTTATCAGACAGACACTCATATTTAAGCGAATACTAAGTATACAGGTTATTATTAATCAGCTGATCGGTACTAATTTTGTCGAGGAGGAAGACAAATATAAGTAAAACAAGCAGGTAAAGAAGGGTGTTCATTAAAGGGTTACACCTAGCACCACAATCATTTCACTGATCTGAAGTGGTTGTGGTGCCTGAACTCTGTATGTGCAGAATTTCGCTATAAGACCCTGCTAATACAGAGATTAACCCCTCTGCTGTTGGAAGTGTGACTCCATTAGCTGCCGAGCCATTAGCCACTTGGAATAAAAGTTCCAGGCTGGCAACATGTGCCAGCACTAACATCCCTTCAGTGAAGGAGGATAAGGCTCAGGGAGAATTTGGCCTTTAACTTTTTTTTGGGGTTGGGGAGAGAAGACAATATAGAAAGGGTTATTCTCACCAAAAACAGTGTTATTAACAGTGTTGGAGTTACTCTTTAAAGCAAATGAGCTTTTTCACCAGTTTAATGGAACTAGATGTGTAATGATTTACCACAAATTGTATAGTATATCAAAGATGGCCAGCTGCTGGGATTGCCCCTTTTATTAAAGCATATTGCCATATATCTCATACAGCCATTTACAAAGGGACTTGTGGGACATTAAAAAAAAGGGAATCTACTACCTTAAAGGGGAAACCTAAACACCATAATCATTACAGCCTACTGTAGCTACACTGGCTCTGTGTCAAACCGTTTTCAAGCACTTTCACACAAATCAAGGGTCCCCAAGGTGCTAATGGCCCAGCATTGTGTTGTTATGGGAAGTTACACTCCCTTATTAATATCAATTTTGTGAGCCGACACGTGCAGCCAATAAACTCCGAACAAATAGGGATGGAATTATTATTGATAATGTGAAAGAGCAATGTGGTGAGGACCCTTAGTTTGTCATGAGAAATCATGATGTTTTATGAAATCAATATTACTATAGAGATAGAAACATTCTATACAGTTAAGGGAAATTGATTGTAACTGATCTAATGTTCTGCTGAATCAGAGAAATGTAGTGCTGCCTCTTTAATGTGAAAAACAAGCCAAATTGAAATTCTCTTTTAGTCTACTACTTTATTAAATGGTTACTCCAACCACTATGACCACGTCTACAAAGTAGCCATAGTGCAAGCGGTTTGTATGTGCAGTGTTTCAGCTCAGTTGCCACTCAGCTCATCTCGATGCTCGTGAATGCACACAGCACTCATGCACAGTGCAGCATTCACCATTTCTAATTGAAAAGCATTTGATTCAATGCTTTGCCATCAAAAAAAGCTGATAGGTGTCCTTAAAGGACCACTCTAGGCACCCAGACCACTTCAGCTTAATGAAGTGGTCTGGGTACCAGGTCCAGCTAGGGTTAACCCAATCTTTTATAAACATAGCAGTTTCAGAGAAACTGCTATGTTTATGAATGGGTTAAGCCTTCCCCTATTTCCTCTAGTGGCTATCTCATTGACAGCCACTAGAGGCGCTTGCGTGCTTCTCACTGTGATTTTCACAGTGAGAGCACGCCAGCGTCCATAGGAAAACATTATTAATGCTTTCCTATGTGACCGGCTGAATGCGCGCGCAGCTTTTGCCGCGCGTGTGCGCATTCAGCCGACGGGGGGGAGCCGGGCGGGAGGGGGACCCTGAGGGTGGGGGCACACTCAGGGCACTATAGTGCCAGGAAAACAAGTATGTTTTCCTGGCACTATAGTGGTCCTTTAAAGCGCTCACCTTCCCAAAAAAATCCAAGGTCCAGCGCTGCTTCTTTGAGAAGCATTTGATTGGAACACAGACCAAAAGAGTCTGATAAGGCGCGATGACAGAAGATGTAGACGGATCAGGGAGAACTTGGCCCATGGCTGGGTTCAAGGCAGAGAGGGTGTGATCAGTGACAAAGGCCTAATAAGATAATTACTACTAAATACAAAGACTGTCTAAAACAGGGTTACAGTAACCCTTTAAAAGGAGAATTTTCTCTGGTACAGACATTTTATATTGGTAAAGTCACACATACATTTCAACTCTTGGGAGAAACCACTGGGTTATTAACACAGTATGGATTATTCACTTAACATTCAATTGTATTGACCTGAAAACCAACCTACAAAATATAGGCTTAAAGAGATACCATAGACAACAATTACTACAGCTTAATGCATCTTTGGGAGGAGATGCTGATTGGCCACAGAGGCATTTGGCACCACCCCACCTCCTAGGTGGAGATCATCAGAATTGACTATATCAGCCAATCCAATGCATTCCTATGGGAATTCTATGTGATTGGCTGAGATCATCACTTCTGATGAGGTCATCCAAGGAGCGCTGGCGGACTGGAATAAATGTAAGATTTTACTAAATTTAGGGCAGCAAGGGGAGGTCAGGGGGGTTAGATCGTGATTTAAACACTGTAGGGTCAGGAATACACATTTGTGTTCCTGACCCTTTAGTGTTCCTTTAAAGGGAAGAGATAATATAATGTAAGGAATACAAATCTTATATTATAGTTCCCTCTATTAATAAACCCTTTCCGTACTCCCCCAATTACAGCGCCGACCTCCCTCGGCACTGGGTCGGCGCGCCACCTCTTCTGACATCATCCACCGCCCTCCCTATAGGAAAGCATTTCTACAAGACTTTCTTATTTGGCTTTAACTGGCGCTAGATTTCCCCATGCAGAGCTTGAGGAAGTCCAACATCAGTTAGGCAACCAAAAGTCGCCTAGCAAGCAGGAATCAGACAACCACTAGAGGCAATATAGTGCCTATAGTGTCCCTTTACATAGCCAAACTATAGTTGTATTTATTTATTACTGGTATTTATAAAGCGCCAACAGATTCTATAGCGCTGTACAATTAATGGAAGACGTACAATAAACACAGACAAATGCAAAAGGTAGAGAGGGCCCTGCCCGTAAGCGGAGATCTAGCCATTGAAGCGCTTTTATACAAAGTGCTTAGCTAGATTGCCCGTGAGCTTATAGGTGAGGAATATATATATGTGTGTAGCTATAGATCAGCTATTAGATCACTATTTTACAATTTGGCTTTTAGATTATTACCATTTGACATGGCTGTAATGTGTGAGAGAAATAACTTATGAGCATTCAATGTAAATAAAGAGCAGATATTTAGTTTGTTATTGAGAGAAGGAAATTAAAGAAAACATCCTGTACTTTTGTGTGCTTTGAACTACACAGGAATCACAGTAACAGAACAAGCTGTGCCTGCTACAGAAACCGTTATATGGTTTACTGAAGGCGGCATTCTATAACTAGGTGTGTGTGTAAAGGACGTTTGAGTATGCAGAATAATGAGGACTTTTGTTCATAGAGATGCATTGAGAATAAAGAATGCTTTGCTAATCTAAAGTCACCTTTACTGTTGTACTGTTACAAACGCGCTAGAGTACAACACAGCGGTCTATAAAAGATCCTCCAAGACAGCCGAATTCTCCATAGTACTGCTATTGCAATGTGCAAGAAGATGCATTTTCCCATAGGCGTCAATACGATGACAGCTTGGATTTGGCAAAACGTGATGGTGGTATCTCGCTATTGCCAAGTTATGGCACACTCGGTCCTCACTATATGCTAAAGTAGTCCCTTCTTTGTCTCATGATGTCTATTGCAGGGCTTGACAAATTTGCTTTGAATCTAGGAGCCAGCTAAAAAAAAAAAGTAAACTTACAAAGCTTTATATTCAGTGACAAAAATACAATTCTTAAAGGGACACTATAGTCACCAGGACCATTACAGCTTAACCCCTTAAGGACAAATGACATGTCATGATTCCCTTTTATTCCAGAAGTTTGGTCCTTAAGGGGTTAATGTAGTGGTTCTGGTGTCTATAGTCTGTCCCTGCAGACTTTTCAATGTAAACACTGCCTTTCCTAGTCACACCTCTAGTGACAGACACTCAGACGGTCATTAGAGGTGCTTCCTGTGTCACTGCTGCACAGTGTGCAGCACCTAAATTCAGCGTCTCCAAGCTCTGCATGGAGGCGCTGAACGCTCCCCAGAGATGCATCGATTCAATGCATCTCATTCTCTATGACGAGATGCTGATTGGTGCAGCATTTTGCATCCAATCCTATGGGAAAACATTGGATTGGCTGAGATCACCAAGCTTGATAATCGCAGCCATAGAGGCAGAGCCAGTCGAGCGGAGACTAGCACCGCGTGGGGAAAAATGGTGAAAAACAAAAACAAAAAAAACATTCCCTTGTGACCGGAAAGGGTCTGGCCACCTAAATACACATATCATGAGAGACAGACACACACACCGTCACACATTATTGCTTGTTTTAATACCTGTGGGGTCCAGTGGCCAAAAGGGCGGCAAGTTGGGGGATTTTGAAGGAAGGCGGCTGGATGCGCGTATTGTTGCTGGCAGTGAGGAAGCTGATGTTCTTGCTCTGCTCCCCCAGAGTGCCACTTAATGTGACCGGGCCGGCATATGACGTCATATCCCGGACCCATTAAGTGACGCGCGGGGGAGCAAGGACATCACAGCTCCATCGCCGTCCTCCTCCTATTCGCTCAGCCAGCCAGCCGCCCACCTCCACGACCAACCAACAAGCCGCCTTCCTACAAAATCCCCCCAGCTTGCTGATGGCCAGTCAACCGCTCGCCTTGGAGTGAAGGGGCTCGCATATCCCAGACGCCAATGCAAAATTCCGAGGCGCCATGGTGCCTGGGATTTGTCGAGCCCTGATCTATTGAATGCAATGGAAATTCAGTGGAATTACAACACAGCCAGAATAGTGCTTCATAAAGATTCTAAATGACAAAGCTGACTTTGGCATAACAAGTGTTCCTCTGTTTAACATACTTCTGTAAATTCAGTAAAAAAGCTAAACAGGACAAAGCAATATTACATCATTTTGCAACTGCTGTATGTGTGCTAATCCAATTTTGGTTTAATACTTTTGTGTTGCTAGTAGGGTGTGCACCTACTTAAACCGATCTAATCAATGAGCACTCTTGCCCATACTGATGCACATGGTATGAGTGGCTCATTTTATGTAGTGGGGTCAGACAGGACATCTGTTAAGTCACTAACATCTTTCGTCAAGGCAAGACAGGGTGAGTACTATTAGGACCGGATAAAAGGTATCTGTTAATTACATCAAAATTCCACTGACTTTATGCATTGGTCTGACTATGCTGAAGAACGCTATTGCAATTTTAAGTCCTTTTCCAAGACTGTTGTTTCTCTACGTGGCCAGTTACTCTAAATAGTCTGTGTTCCACTGACTCAAACCATAACAGATGTTGTGGTAATGACTAATGCAGCATAACCCTCTTTTAAAAAAATTTGGGGGTAAAAGAAAAAAAAAAGTCTTACATCTCATCATGGCATAATAGGTGCACAAAGCAGAAAGATTTTAATACTCAGAAATGCATTTTAACAGTGCAAGATCCTCACCACCTTTTTGTTCATTTGAATAAAGCCCGATTAACTCCTTAACGCCGTTAGGGAGTGCAACGTGTCCTACGTAAGTATGGTTTTACGCAGTTATGGTGGCATAGCACACACTAACGATTGGATCCTCCCGGCAGCCAGCATACTTACCCTCCACGATTGCCTGACAACCGAGGAATATCCCTGGATCCTGAGGAATATCCCAGGATCCTTGGCTACTAAAAGAGACTGGACATATTCCATTTTGAATACCCTGGGTTGTCTACTTTTGCAGTTGGTATGCCAAGATGAAGATCATTTCTATTAAATCTATTATTATGTTCTCAAAGGCAATATAGGCCCAGCAAACCAATCTGGCAAATTTCAATGTGTTAAAACTGAAATGGGCAAGCCTATATGTGACTCTGTAACTTTCAAGAACATCATGAAACGTGTACAGGTGGCATTGGGGGACATCACATGATAAAAAATGTCTGTGTTTTATTGCAGTAAATGTTAACAGTATTATGACATTCACAGTTATAGTGACATGCAGAAGTTGGAAAACAACAAAACATCTTAATTTCTCTCACATTCTTTTAGATTTTATTCACATTAATTGTGTTCCATACATACATATTTGATGTGAAATTAAAGCCCTGCAGAATATATTGGCACACTATGAATAGTAACCGCAATCACGATACAGAGGCACAAGATCAATTCATCACTTGGGTAATCTGTACATGTGCCCAAAGAGCTAATTCACTCGTGCAAACTTAAAACTACAATAACACTATTCTACAGGAGTGTTGGGCACAGTTTGATACCCGGGTTTATAATACCTGTACATACCGGAGCATATACCAAATTAAAAATAACTTCATGTAGATGCATAAATCCCTTTCTTAATGCATGTAATATAAATCCATGTGTAAACATTTTGCATTATTACGTCTAAATTATAGCATTATTTTGACAATGCTGAATTGTTTTGTAACTGTCAATATTTATTGTTTATATGAAATAACTCCTACACTATTCAGAATTCTATAACACTAATAATAAATAGGAAAAGTTGGCACTCGGATTATACATACACTAGTTATTCACTCCAATTTTTGGAAAATGTCAAATGCTAGTTTGTACTTTGATTCCCACAAACCGTTCCCAACTCCAACAGGAAGTGGTAAGACAACGTGTGGGGAAAATCCAGCTTTTGCCAATTTGCACAAGTAGCTTCATTCATTTTAGGAAATTTGGAAGTAAAAGTGACCAAGCTGTTGAGCACAGCAGGGCTTTGAGGAGTGCCCCCACGGAAATCAACTGGAGTCCCAGGATTGGCTGGGAAATCACAGCCATTCCAGAGGCCTTGCTGTCATAACTCCAGAAGTAGAAGGTTTGTGTGTCCATCTTCTTATGGGTACCCCTTTGGAAGTGACCACAAAAAAGCATTATTTGAGGAGAGTCTAGAAGCAGTTCAAGCAGTAATTATAGCAGTTAGCATGTTTGTCTCCCATGTCAAAAATAAAATAAGACCAACCAATTTTGCGGGATCTATGACCTAGCGGTGGGCTTAACACAATATGGCCATAGGGTGTAACTGAATCCCCATATTTGTTTGGTAAGATATGTGACTAAGTAGCCTTGTAAGATTTAAAACGGCTTATTTTGTGTGTGTGCGCTGTTCCTTTATCTATATTGTTTTAGACACTTACCGGAACATTTTCACAACTTACCTAGTTCCCTCCAGGCACCCAAGCTGCATCTGATCTTCTCGGTTTAAACTAGTATATATGTCGCAACCTCATAGGATGATAAATGATGGTCAACTCTGCCACTTAAAAAGTTAGCGCCATCTGAATGGCAAAATAATTGGCTAAAATATCAGATTTTTATGAAAAAGTCACAGTTTGGCTATTTTAGCCTGTATTCTGCTTTGTGAATTTTCATTTTGCTGGCATGCAAAGTATGGTGAATAATCCAGCCTCTATCAATGAGAAATGACAATGAGGCAAAAAATAAATAAATAAATAATAAAAATGCATACATAAATAAAATTGGAGGAACTAGCAACTAACTGTATTTTAAACTACTACAAATATGTTGGGCACAGAATACTTTGGGAGTGTATCACTCTCAGGCAGCACTAGGGGCTGGCTGAGAATTAAGGGAGTTGCAGTCCACCCCTCCTGGGTTGATTTGGCCAGCAGCAAATTTCACAAGGGACTGATCCAGGCACAGAAGGGTTAAAATATCATTCCATTCTGACACCTCTCCCATGACTGGCGTAGTTTTTAGTAAATATCATTAAGTTTTCTCTCTCTATGATGTCACCAGTTTTTATGAAGACATTAAAGTGTTGCAGTGGGCTCAGCCAAGCTCCTCTCTTACCGCCAGGGAAGCCTCATGGAAGGCGAGGGGTGACCCGGTACCGTGCAGCCAGAGGATGCACAACTTGCTCCCGCCGGCTCTGCCGCTCTTTGACGTCATCGGTCATCCGGGGCCGCGTTCTATGTCATACCCATCATCCGCCGCTAGATGGCGCTGCAGAGATGAATGCCATATCAAAAGGAAGACTAGACGGTTCGTATAGCCAATCAAACAGCGCGGAGCGGGAGGCTACGGCTGCCATTTTACTCTAGGGCAAGAATCCTTATTTGGCAAAAGGGGAAAAGCAGTAAGATGTGTTATTTCTAAGGAGTAGCACTTTTTTGTGAATTGTGATATATGCACGTTAGAAATGGTTAGAGGAACATTGTTTTTTTTTAAAAAAATTATTTAAAAAAAACTATATATATATATATATAAAAACAAACAAAAAAAACTATATATATATATATATATATATATATAGCCCCAGATGGAATTATTTCCCCAAGTAAGTGGGTTAATCTCATAAGAGCAGACAGTTGGCTGTTAGTGTCGGATCTGCCAAAGATGGGGTACATTGACGTTGTGGCAGGCTTATGCAATGTATGATCATATAATGTAACTAAACCCCCATTATATTTGCCTAGATTAGGTGTTTTTAAAAAAGCAAATAAAATCTTTCAACATTGAAGTTTCTGTTTAGTGGATAGGTGAGTGCGCTGGATCTTGTGTATTATATATATATGTGTGTGTGTGTGTGTATATATATTTCCAAGGAGCCACCAAACCAAAATATGCAGGAATAAGTTGAAGGGACACTGTAGGCACCCAGACCACTTCAGCTAATTGAATTAATGCTTTCCTATGGAGGCTGGCGTCCTCTCACTGTGAAAATTACAGTGAGAAGCGTGGAAGCCCTCTAGCGGCTGTCAATGAGACAGCCACTAGAGGCTGGATTAACCCATAGGTAAACATAGCGGTTTCTCTGAAACCGCTATGTTGACAGAAAAAAGGGTTAATCCTAGCTGGACCTGGCACCCAGACCACTTCATTAAGCTGAAGTGGTCTGGGTGCCTATAGTGGTCCTTTAATTGTAAAATATAGGCCTTGATTTGAAAGGGACGCTACAGTCATAAGAACAATCACAGCTTATTGAATAGATTCTGTCTATAATGGCACAGGTTCTGGCGTCTATAACCTGTCCCTGCACGATTTTTAATGTAAAGACTGTCTTTTCAGAGAAAAGACGGAGTTTACGTTACAGCCTAGGAACACCTCCAGTGGCAGTCACTTCCTATGGGAAAGCATTGAATTGGCTGAGATCATCAAATTTGATGACCTCAACCTAGAAGGCGGAGCAGGGCCAGCCATGACAAGACCGGCACAACGATAGTAAGTTGAGTTAAACACTTAAAGCGGCACTGTCATGACCGAATTCCATGTTTTTAACCCCCCATGACTCCACTACATCTAATTGACCCCCTAGTAGCCCCCAAATGCCCCTAAGCCCCCCTATTTTTTAACTTTATTTCCTGCCCCGATCAATATTCAGGGCGCCGCTATCTTTGTGTGGGTAGATGAAGTCCCTATGGGACACGTCATCTGCCCACACTAGATAGCGCTGTGAGATTCCCGCACATGCCCAGTTAAACACTTAGAATACCAGTCAAAGGTTACCTCCTTTTACAGAGGAGTGTGTATAGTACAGTGCTTTAAAACAGGTGAAGTAATTTGTAGGCTGCTCAATACACTTATGTGAAAATATCCTCTATTTCACAAGATACGATTGAAATTATTGGTGTGGTTTAAGCTATAAACACTTAGACATGCGAACGGGAATTTCATCTATTCATTCATTCATGTATCAGTGTTTGTTTATTCGTAAAGTTTATTACAAGGAGGGAGCTACCGGCGCGCAGCTCCCTCCTTGTAAAATGTAAAGAGAGAAGCGGCAGGGAGCAGTGCTCCCCACCACTTCCAAAGCCCCCCGTGTCCTCCCTCACTCTATGGGTGTCAATATGACCCCAATAATAGCATAAGGGAAATTAAAATCTCCCGAATGCCACTATTCGCTATACTGCGAGTAGGGGCATGTCTACTAAACAAAACATCCACACAAAAAAAAAAATAACTACTATCCGCCCCCCCTTGTCCCCCACCCCTGCGCGACGGGTAGGGGCCCTAAATAACAATAAGGGGGTGGGACCTACTGTCCTCCCCTGCAGCCCCCACCCCTGAGCGGCAGGTGGGGGCCCTTAATAAGAATGTGGGGGGGATGGACCTACTGTCCTCCCCCCCGGGCTCCACCCCTGAGCGGCGGGTGGGAGCCCCTAAATAAGAATGTGGCGGGGGACCTACTGTCCTACACCCGGCCCCTACCCCAGATCGGTGGGTGAGGGCCCTAAATAAGAATGTGGGGGGGGACCTACTGTCCTCCCCCCCGGCCACCACCCCTGAGCGGCGCGTGGGAGCCCTAAATAAGAATGTGGGGGGGGACCTACTGTCCCCCCCCGGCCCCCACCCCTGAGCGGCGAGTGGGGGCCCTAAATGAAAATTCCCCCCCCCCAAACAAGGTGACTAGGGGTCCCCAATCCCCTAGTCACCCCCCCCACCCAAATAAAAAGTTATTCCCTACCTACCCCCCTCACCCTAAAAATAGTGAGGGGGGGAATAAAAAAACTAACCTGTAAAGAAAACTAAAACTTACCATTTGACATCTTCTTTTTTCTAAAATCTTTTTCAGCCCCAAAAAAGGCCAAATAAAAAACCATCATACCCGTCGAGCTTAAAATAAAATAAAAAACCAGAGCGCAAAAAAAAAACCTGACGAAAAAGAAAAAACCCGACACCAAAAAAAATAATCCATCTTCACCCATGGAGGGCATGGCGCAGACTGTGCTCCGCAGGGCGGGGTAAGGCTTATAAAGCCTTGCCCCGCCCTGCAATTAGGCTAAGGACACTCTGATTGGTTGGTTTAAGCCAATCAGAGTGCTCTGTGTCATTTTACACAGCGTGGAAAAATTCCAGAGAACCTTCCCACGTTGTGTTAAATGACACAGAGCACTCTGATTGAATGGCTTGAAATCTAACCAATCAGAGTGCTCTGTGTCATTTTACACAGCAAGTTCAACGCTGTGTAAAATGACAAAGAGCACTCTAATGGGCTTAAACCAACCAATAAGAGTGTCCTTAGCCTAATTGCAGGGCGGGGCAAGGCTTTATAAGCCTTTCCTCGCCCTGGGGAGCTTAGTCTATGTCGTGCCCTCGCCGGGTGAAGATGTATTAATTTTTTTTGCGCTCAGGTTTTTTATTTTATTTTTGGAGGGCTGAAAAATGATGATTTTAGAAAAAAGAAGACGTCAAATGGTAAGTTTTATTTTTCTTTACAGGTTAGTTATTTTATTTCCCCCTCACTATTTTTAGGGTGAGGGGGATAGGTAGGGGATAGATTTTTATTTGGGTGGAGGAGTGACTAGGGGCTTGGGGACCCCTAGTCACCTTGATTGGGGGGGATTTTCATTTAGGGCCCCTACCCGCCGCTCAGGGGTGGGGGCCAGGGAGGAGGACAGTAGGTCCCCCCCTAAATTCCTATTTAGGGCCCGCACCCGCCGCACAGGGGTGGGGGCCGGGGGGGAGGACAATAGGTTCCCCCCCCTTATTCTTATTTAGGGCCCCAACCCACCGTGCGGGGGGGAGGACAGTAAGTCCCCCCATTTTTATTATTTAGGGCCCCCACCCACTGCGCAGGGGTGGGAGCCAGGGGGAGGACAATAGGTTTCCCCCATTATCCTTTAGTGCCCCCACCCGCCGCTCAGGGGTAGGGTCAGGGGGGTAAGACAATAGGTCCCCCCCCACATTCACATTTAGGGCCCCCACTCGCTGCTCAGGGGTGGGGTGCGGGGGAGGGTTGCTCTAGGTCCCCCCCTTCAGTTTAATGTTTTTTTGTTTTTTTTTAACAGTGAGCAGCCACTGGCTGCTCCCTGTTTACTAGACATGCTCCTACTTCCAGTATAGCGAGTAGGAGCAGAATTTACTTTTACTTAGTATTAGTAAAAGTGGCTGAAAGACCAATTTAGGTCTTTCAGCCTTTTGGTAGATAGCTCCCTTATACCGTGGGAATTAGGTAGCTATCTACTAAGCGGCTGCAAGATGCAGCCGCGGCAATAAATAGGATCACAGTTTCATTCATTCAAATGAAATTCCGATACGAACAAAGTCCTGAATTGCGTTCCAACACGAATGGACAAACTGTTCTCATTCTGTAAGGACGCAATTCGGAAGTTTTGCCGGCGTTCTGTCTAAATGACAGGACGTTCGGCAATACTGACAGGAAGCATCGTGGGAACAGAGAGGATGGCGTAGGAAACCTCCAGAAGAGAAATAGTGCCTACTTTGTCTTAATTTTTAAAGAAAACTAGAGCAGACAGGAAGAAATGAATAACAGACCCTGAGAGAGGGGGAGAAGAGGAATTGATTGGGGAAAGGTAAGTTCAGCATGACAGTGCTGCTTTAACTGGGGGGCAAGTCAGGACGACCACCTAAACAGCGCATTTATAACTAAAGTGTCAGGAGTACATGTTTGTATTCCTGATGCTATAGTGCTCTTTTAAGCATCCATGTCTGGAAGTTAACAATCCAGCAGATTTCTTTTTAGCTGAAATCTGGATTAAATTCAGTGTTATTCAGAGCCTGGTTTGCAAAATCCAGACATTGTTATGCACTGTGATCAATGCCAAATGGCCCCTTACAGCAGCAAATGGTTCTGGCTGTGTTATGTATGTGGGGTTTATGTGTGGTTGGCTGTGTTATGTTTGTGGGGTTGATATGTGGTTGGCTGTGTTGTGTATGTGGGGTATATGTGTGGTTGGCTGCGTTATGTTTATGGGGTTTATTAGTGGTTGGCTGTGTTATGTATGTGGGGTTTATGTGTGGTTGGCGGTGTTATGTTTGTGGGGTTGATATGTGGTTGGCTGTGTTGTGTATGTGGGGTTTACGTGTGTCTGGCTGTGTTATGTTTGTGGGGTATATGTGTGGTTGGCTGTGTTATGTACGTGGAGTTGATATGTGGTTGGCTCTGTTGTGTATGTGGGGTATATGTGTGGTTGGCTGCGTTATGTTTGTGCGGTTTAT